ACTTAATAACAGTAACATTCTATTACTGACTTAATAACTGAGGTGTAACCCTAAGAAGTGCCTACCTGCTGGTAGGAAACCAACCAATTTGTTAGTTTTTAGAATTTGGGCCTCAAAGATGGTTTTGGAGGGGCGCCTGGGTGGCTCAGTCTGTTAAGCGTCGGACTTCAGCTCAGGTCACGATTTCATGGTCCGTGAGTTCGAGCCCCGCGTTGGGCTCTGGGCTGATGGCTCAGAGCCTGGAGCCTGTTTCCGATTCTGTGTCTCCCTCTCTCCCTGCCCCTCCCCATTCATGCTCTGTCTCTCTCTGTCTCAAAAATAAATAAAAACGTTAAAAAAATTTTTTTTAAAAAGATGATTTTGGAGACTCACATCTTTTCTGTTCCTGCAAACTGCTCTTGAGGGTGAGGACACCTTAAATTTTTTAAATTTATTTTGAGAGAGACACAGACAGTGTGAGTTGGGGAGGGGTAGAGAGGGAGGGAGAGAGAGAGAATCCCAAGCAGCCTCTGCACTGTCAGGACACAGCCCGGTGCGGGACTCGAACTCACGAAAATGTGAGATCATGACCTGAGCCGAAACTGAGAGTCGGACACTCAACTTACTGAGCCATCCAGGCACCCTGAGGGTGAGGACACCGTAAATCAGGATGGCCAGACTTTGACCATGGTGCACTGAGCCTTCAAAGAGAGGATATATTACGTCTCCCAGGCAGCTTAAAGGTTTAGAAAATCATTCTCCTCCACCTGCTTTGTATATGATGGGGTGAGGCAGTATCGAGAATATGACTTTATTGGGGGAATAGGCAACTAGCCTGAATAGCTAATCTGATAAATCTACAGAAGACCACAGGGGAACTTGTTATGCGAAAATAGAGGAAGAATAAATGAACTCTGCAGAAATTGGTTTTCTATCAAATTTCCTTTTAGCCTTACAGGAAAATCTTCCCCTCTTTCTTCTGAATCTTTATGCTCCTATTATCAAAACCATATAGTTGGCAGTGGTACTTGTTACATTCTGTTCCTATTGTGAGTGGGATTTTCATGTGTAAGAATCTCCTATCTCAACTGGATGGGACATTCCTCAAGGCAAGGGACTCAGCTTTCTAATCCTTTGTGTCCTTGCATCTTCCAGCTTTGAACTTCATACATAATGATGCCTAATGCACTAATCATTATTATGAATTATACATTGTTATTATGGATTATGATTATGATAATTGTTATGACTCATTATTTGTACTTGATGAAAATTCAGTCGAAGTTAAAAGTACACAAGATACTTTCTTTCCCATGGATTTGTTTAGAGTCAAGACAAGTTTATCTTGACTTGGGACCCAAAGCTCCTGTGTAGGGAACTTTCTTTATAGAAGGCTTATATTTAGAATGCAGTTTATTTAACTCAGTGAGAATTTACTCAGCTTCTGCCATGTGGAGGTTTATAGACTATAGAAAAGAAATAAGATAGTATCCAAGCACTCAATGAGTTTATAGTCTAATACATGAATGGCAAACAGATAATATATATATCTATTGATGGTGGCTGCTTGGATTGTTGACAAGGATTATAAAGTTTGGTCTAGGTTCAGTAGGACTGAATACTGTAATCAAGTAGTAATCCACCATTTATTTAGGAATGGAGAATGGTAGCACAATGCCATATATTTGCAATCACCAATTTGCAAAATGGATTCAAAGTCTAGATAGTAGAAGAAGCTTATATATTTAGTAGAATCCAATCAGTTAATACCTTAATCAGATCTGTTTGTATACACAGCACCAATAAAATATATAAATTACGTGAAATAATTATTTATTAGTATGCTTCGGTCACCATAACAAAATGCCATAAACTAGATGGCTTAACCAACAGACATTTATTATCTTATAGTTCTGGAGGTTAGAAGTCCAAGATCAAAGTTCCGGCCAGTTCAATTCTTACAGGGCTCTTTTTCTGGTTTATAGACAGCTGCCTTTTGTATGAATATGACTTCTTTTTTTGTGTTATGGAGGAGAAAGAGTGATAAGGCCCTATGGGATCAGGGTCTCAGCCTTATAACCTCATTTAACCTTAATTAATTCCTCGGTGGCCCCATTGCCAAATATAGGAATCCCCAGCTGTCCAAAAGTAGAGTGTTCCTATCCTGAAGTGGCATAAATCCAAGACTATTGCCTGCTGTTGGAAAGTTCTTGTTACATCACTTCACTTTTACAAAAGACCTACATTATTGCCTGTCTTAACTAAGTGAAAAAAATCTGATGAGGGTTTTCACTGTTACTAAAAAAGCAGTTACTGTAGTATTGTAGGTCTTTCATAAAAGAAAAGTGGTATAACAACTTTCAAATAGTGGGGTATACTCGTATTGCTGCATTGGGGGTTAGGGCTTCAACATATGAATTTGGGAGAACACATTCAGTTCATAACAGTATGTCATATAAGAGATTTAGGTCTCAGATTTGGAGAAGTGGATATCATAGGAGCTACAGATCTACACATGGTTACTATTTTTGAAAAAGCATGACTTAAAAATTGATTTCTTAATGTTTTTCACATTAGTTGCATTTATGAGTTTTAAACATATCTGACCTTATAGGCTGTTCATTGTAACTCAAGCAATCTATATAACACAACTTAGTAGTCCAAAGGAACAGGTGGTCGAAGGATTTGCAAATGCAAATTAACAAAAACTCATGTACTTTTCTAAACCTTAGTGACACCTTAAAATAATAACCAGACATTACAAAATATTATCCTCCAAATGATGTTAACTGCAAACTTTTTGCCTTGGAATATGACACCTTTCCTCTACCAACATGCTTTGCTTTTGTATTGATGTGTGCTTAGTAGACTGAAAAGATCACATTTTTTTGTATTGCTATATCCATAAAGTAGAATTAAAAAATATGATTTCTTAAGGTAACATCTACTCTCAGTAAAATTTAAATCTGGATCCAGGCTAGTTTTTGTTTTGTGGGTGAAGTTTTTTTTTCCCTCAAGAAGATTCAGTTATTGATGTGACAAATTACTGGAACTAGCTATTATCTCAAGAAAAATAGAGAATATATTGGTGTTGGATTTTGACCCCATCCAGCTCTTGTTTATCCCTCTATCTCTTCAAGGTTTTATATTTCAGAGTAAAAAAAATGTTTAAATGACATTTATTCTTGATTAGTAAAGTAAAAGCCAAACTGGGTTTTAATATAACTCTTAGCTTCATATGGGTCATAATGCCTTGTCATTTTTTTTTTTGTCCTGACATGACTGAACTGTACAACAATCACACTGATGATAAGATTGATTCCCTTGATTTTAATCACAAACAGAACCTTCATAAAATGTTTAATGAATTCTTGGTTCCAATTTAGAAAATTGACAAGAATATTGTGTTTATCCACAGTCCTATCTCAAAATGGTTTTCTCTTTAATTATTAACGTGGGAATAATGCAGTAGCTCAGGGTGACACAGTGAAGTATGACTGAGTAATGATTGAAGTGCACACATGAAAAAGACCTGCCAATTCTGTAAATAGGAAAGCATACAATTTAAAAAATTCAGTGTGGAAAAATCCTTTCATGCCTTTGAGATATAGTATAACAGATGGAATTATAATCTGATATATTCATTGATGTTTGTTATTATAGTATTTTCCAATTAAAATACATACCCACTAGAGATAAGAACAAAAAAATATAAAAACCATATATAATTTCACCACTCAATGTTCATTCAATTAATATATTAATAAAGAGATACCTGCCATGAACATTTTATGTACATCTTTCCTATTTTCAAAATTGGAATTTTATGGCATATTCTAGAAGGCTGTATTTGCTTAATAATCTATTACAAAAATTTTCTTATTATTACATTTTTTAAATTTTTATTTTGAGAGAGAAAGGGAGCATGAGTGAGGGAGGGGCAGAGAGAGAGAGAAAGAGAGAGAGAGAGAGAGAGAATCCCAACCAGGCTCCATGCTTTCAGCACAGAGCCCAATGAAGGGCTCGATCTTATGAACCATGAGATCATGACCTGAGCAGAAATCAAGAGTCAGTTGCTTAACCAGCTGAGCCACCCATGTTCCCCCTTATTGTTACATTTTAACTATATACAACTCTATCGAATAGGTAATATAATAATTTATTTACCCAGTCCCCTACTGCTGAACATGTATGTTATTTGCAATTTTCTGTTATTTTAAGTAATATTGCCTCAAACATCAGCTCATAGAAGCTCATTGTACATAAGTTACTTTTCTTATGATAAATTCCTGAAAGTGGAAGTTGTGGGTTAAAGGCTATAAATATATTTTTGGATCTCAATAACAATTGCTTTTCAGAAAGATGTACCATTTTACATTCCTATCAGTAACTTTAAAGTGCCCCTATCTCCACACCTTTGCTAACACAGAGGGTTACAATTTTTTCTGTTTGTTCATTTGTTAGACAAGGCATGCTATATTATTGTCTTCTACTTATAGACTTAACTCGGGACTGAGATCAGAAAATAGAATATGGAAGGATAGAAGGAAGCCTTGTCCATTTGTCTTATGGCTCTAAAGATGAATTTTAGATTGGTGCCTTTTCATTAGTCTATTCAACAAATGTTTTCTTTGCGTGCCCCTTCAAGAAAGGAAAATGAGATATAAAATTTGTATTTGACAACCTAGTAATATTCCTCACTTGATGGCACATTAGCACCATGGTCCATCCTAGGATGCTCTCTTGTTTTCTCATTTCCCCTCCTTTCATCTGGATCCCCACTCTTTTCCCCTGCTCTTCCATAAGCAACTATTCTAGTATGTTTAACATACATATTGTATATGCATGTTGCTTGAAGGATATATAGTGTTTTGTGGTTTTGAGAATATGTGTTTTTAACTTACATAAATTGCATTCCTAACTGTTGTGTTATCTTACATTCTCCACTCCTAAACATTACACTAAAAACAAACTCTATCCTTGTGTTGCAATCATGTTTATATTTTTGCCTGTAATTGCAGCAAAAGATTCCATAGTGTCTACCTGAGGTCCAGAATAGAAGGAACTTGTGCTCACTTCCAGAGAAGAATATCAAATGCTCATTTATGTGTTGTTATTTCTTGAACAAAGGACATCACGATCACTTATGTGGCTACATACATCTACAATCCATCTGTAAGTTTCTGAAAGGGCTGCAAGAACTCTTAGAATGCTTACATTGATAGCACCCCCTTAGAATATCAGCATTCCTGGGAAGAGTAAGATTGTTCTGTCCATCCTGCACACACACCCAATGGGGCATGGGCAGCATCCATTGACTTTAGGTGGGGGAAGATGGAGTCATATTGGGGTTTGCCTCTCCAACCCTCCATGGGGCACTGCAGCTAGGAACACAAGGCTAACCTCACGTCTTGTATCCTCAGCATCATTCACAATGACTGGCACATAGGAGGCACTTAAAAAATATTTGTTGAATGAATGAATGAAACGGATCAATCTAGGATGAATCTTAGGCCAATAAGATAAGGAGACAAAAGTCCTTACTGCTCAAGCAATGCAGGATTTCCAAGGAAAGAGCTCATAGTTCATGACATAGAATTTATCCATGTCTTGTTCTCCTTTCCTTCGTGAGCATGTAGAGTACTACACCTCCTAGCCCTCTTGTAATGAGGTAAAACTGTTGGAGTAACTGAAACTGATGAACAATGCAGGAAACTGGTATGTGCCATTCCTACTTCCAGGCACATTAGAGCCAGTGTGTCACTTCCAAGTTCTCTCCTCTCTTCCCTGGTCTAGGAGGTCACATGTTCCAGATAGTGCAGCTACAAGGTAGCAAAACATTAAACAGCCTTGGACCCCAGGGGTAATGTGGGGAGAGACTGCCCGCCTCCCTGTCTTTGCCAATCCACATGGTGAGGGGGTTCGGAAGTGTTGGAGAGAGGGTGTTACATTTTAAGCAGTGTGACCAGGAGGCCCTTATGGTGATGTTGAAGTTGAGACTTGAAAGCCTGAAGAGCGAGGGAGTGAGACACCCAGGACAGATGAGCAGAGGGAGCAGCGAATGCAAAGGCCCGAAGGTGGGACTGAGTTTGGTGCTTTAAAAGAAGTGGGACAGAGTCAGTGAGGCTGGAGCAGAGTGAACAAAGGGGAAAGTAACAGAGACAAGGCAAGACTGGCAACCAGAGGCTGGGAGAACAGATTCTAAGGCCCAGATAGGTCATTTTAATGACTCTGGCTTTCATTTTGAGTGACCTGGGGGCATTAGAGCTCTGCATATTGGAGTGATATGATGTGATTTATATCTAGGCTGTGTTGAGAATAGACCAAGAGGGGCAAAGGGAAGAGGCAGGCTGTGCAGTTAGGAGGCTATGGCAATAATCTAGGCAAGGGGCATTGGTGGCTTGGGTTAGGGTGATAACAGGAGTGATGTGAAGCAGCCACATTCTGGGTTTATTTTGAAGGCAGAGCCATTAGAATTACAGATGATTAGAGGAGGGGTGTGGGAGAAAAAGTCAAGGATGAATCTTTTGGCTTGTGTAGCTGGGAGAATGGAGCTGCCATTTGCTAAGATAGGGAGTCTGTGGGGAGAGTGAGGCTGGGAGTCTGTCAGGAGTTCAGGTCCAGACAGGTGAGGTTGGTGGTAGCCATTGGACACACAAGTGTGCATGAAGAGAGGCATGCCAGCCTAAGTGGCAAGGCGGCTAGGCTGGTGAGGAGGACAGGGATGGTGACACTCTTTACCTAGGAGACTGAGGTCCAAGCTCTCCAAGTGGAGACCTGAATCCTAAGGGTACTCAGGAGCCCCGTCCATGATTTCTGTTGGGCAGGCTGGCCTGGAACCAAGTTTCCCAACCACGGCGATTAAGCTGAGCTTCTCTAAGACTAGCTGTTGATGTAGCAGCACATACATCTCCATATGACAGTGATCCACTTGGCAGTCAGAAGGCCAGAATTTTATACTCTGAGCCTAGAAAATCACCTGAAAGCACCATTCTCAAAGCTTCTGCCTCCTTGGGTCTGCATTCATTTCCAGGTTTTCAGATCTCGGGGGTGGACACTGACAATATATTTGCAGGTAAAGCAATTTCTTCTTATTCTTCCAGCATAAAAAATTGCATTTCCACATCAGAGTCATGTTCTAAACCTGTTACCATAGCAAGAACTGTATTTCCCAGCTTTCCCTGGTGGCATTGTTTATATTTCTTAGCCAACAACATCTAAACCTTTTTTTTTACTCACTTGGAACTGCCATGTATTCCAACCCTTTGCTTCATGAAACATTTATATATTGTACGTGTGAGCCTTAAATGGGGAATTTTACATGCCACCCCCTTCTTTTTGGAGACACGATAAAGGTAGGTTTTGTGTGTTTTCCGAAGCTGGTCCTATATCATGGTTCTCCACGCACTGAGCATTCCACTCCTAATTGTTGCACATGCATTGAAACTTGACAGCAGCCTGTCCAAGGCTGGTAAACAATGATTCACTCCATATGCTACAGTTCTGTACAAGTGCCATTTCTGGGACTCAGTACTCATCGAATGCTTTGTCAGTTGTTATTTCTGTTTATCTCCTTGTTCATTTACATGGTTCCTTACTTTGTGGGCTTATTTTGTGTTTTCTTAGTCCTCTTCCTGCTGTTTTAGATTTCCTCTGTTCTCTCATTCCTTGCTGAGGGAAAGCTGAAAGTGTTGCCCAGATACGCCAGTCTTGAGGGATGCTTTGCTTCTCTCAATGAAAGGAAGGGTTCAATGTTGTATCCTTGACCTATGGAAGTCATGTAACTCAGAGGCTTGTGTGGGTGATCCCAGGTAAAAAAGAGAGGCTGTGTTCAAACAAACTGTAACATAAAATACTCTTAGTGGGTTTATTATATGGAGCCCAAAACATGATCAGTCCAGAAACTCTGTTGGGATTGAAGGAACCACAAAGGCGGGACTACAATGTCCCTGATTCTGGAGAAGAGGTCATTTCTTACAGCAGTCCTTAACATGGAGGGCAGGGTCACCGTGTGTTTGTTAATGTAGATTGTATTCTACACCAGTGTGCCCAGGTGATGGGCAGATGGGGACTGGAATGCAGCCTGTGGTCCACCATGCACCCTACTTGTGATAGTTAATGTTATATGTCAATTTGACTGGGTCATTGTGTCCCAATATTTGGCCACACATTGTTCTCAGTGTGTCTGTGAGGGTGTTTATTGATGAAATTAATATTTGAAACCGTAGACTGAGTAGAGCAGATTGCACTCCTTCATGTGGGTGACCCTCATCCAGTCCACTGAAGGCCTGACTAGAATAAAAAGTGGAGTAAGGGAGACTTTGCTCTCTGCCTGACTGGGACAGGTCTTGAGCTGGGACATTGGTCTTCTGCTTTTGGACTTGGATTCAGACTGAATCCTACACTGTCAGCTTTCCCGAGTCTCCATTTTGCTGACTGTAGATCTTGGGACCTCTCAGCCTCCATAACTGTATGGCTAATTCCTTATGTTACATACAAGATGAGATACACTACTTAAAATACCACTCAAGAAAGGGGTGCCTTTTGCTAATTCACATGCAGTTTTCCAGTGGCTCTGGTAATGGGCATGGGGTTGGGTAAGGAGAGGTGGGAAGGGGGCTGAAAGGCATAATTTGAAAAATGCCCCATCCATTTCCATGTAGCTTAGAGTTGGCTGTGCTGTAAAGCTCCTGGTCTCAGCATGAATTTTAGAATACGGGTGATTCTTCCTGAGGAATAGAAGCAATTAAGGGCTTTAGTTTCTCTGCTACATTAGTGGTGAACCCTGAGGATGCCTTTGCTTGCTGGAGGGAGATTTAGCAAAACAGAGATGAGTAGTATCCACAGAAATTACTCAAACTTTGCATTTTGGTTATGCAATTTACACTTTTCAAAACAAGCTCCTCTCATTGTTTTAATATAAAAAAGGATGACTGATGCTTGTTATCATTCTCATTTTAAAGGTGTGCAAACAGAGCTGCAGAACGGACAACTGGATGTCCCTGTGGCTAGGTGGTGGCTAGAGGTGAGGTTTGTCCTCTAGCTGAGCAGCTGTCCAGGCTCCTGCACTCTTTCTAGCCTTCCATGCGGGTCTGATGGAACTCTCAGAACATTAGTGAATTCTTTCTAAGCATTTCACTAAAAAAAAAAAAAAAAAAATAGAACGGTATAATCGGGAACATACTTTCCTTAAAGAACAAATACTAGAGATCCCTCCTGGTACAGATTTCTTTATTTTTTTTAATTTCATGAGAAAATGGCCATATTTATTTGGGCTGAATTATATATTTTAATCTAATTTTCTACTTTCATTGTCCAAAGTCTCTTCTAATTGCTGTACAGTCAAGAACCCACACATATACAAATGCACACACACTCACATCACACACATGTATCTCGGGTTTTGTTCAGTAATTTTCTAAAAAAGCTCTCAAACTGCACGTTCTCAGGACACTGTGGTATTACACAGATAAAGGCAGTAGAGGCTAAATATGAGGTCATGTTGGTAGTACCTGACATATTGCCCTCAAAATAAGAATTATTGCTGGTGATTATCTGTGGGGCAAGAGGTGGGGAGAGGGGAAAGAGTACCAGTGATATTATGATACACTTGAGAGTTTCTTCTGCCCTAGGGAGAAGATGAAAGTCAATGAACTAGAGAACCAATGTTTTGTTTTTGTTTTGTTTTTCAGCTGCTACCCAAATTGGTTTCATGATTTCTCATACTTTTATGTAACCTTGCCTCTGGGGCATTTAATACACATTAAAGCAACACAGTCAGCCACAACCTCAACTCTGGACAGACTAGCTCATGGGAATAGACATTATGTTTATAAGAATGAATAACAGATTCCTAAACCATTTTCTAAAATTTTTGATCTTCATATTCACACATCATCCTAGGAGGGTTGGCTCAGGTTCTAGGCCAAGAGTATTAAAGAGAAAATGGCAGAGGCAGATCTCAGTCAACCCGTCAGACTTACCTTTACCTGATGCTACTGCCTACCAAAAACCAAATTCTAGTTCCCAAGGCTGCACTCTGTGAGGAAAAAAAGGAGTTTAGTGAACACTCCTTGACCCCAGTTAGCTCATACCCTCCTCAAGGAAACAAGACTTTCAGGAATGCAAGAGTGATAAGCCCCATTTCCCTGGCTCACACTCTACTTAGACATGATTGTATATGGCCACAATGGAATTTCCTCTAAGCTAGTAATTCCTAAATTCTAGTCCACCAAACTCCTATTTGCCATTGGTGTAAGCCAGTGCTCCTCAAAATTTGATGTTCTTATCAGTTGCCCAGAGATCATCAACAGGCAGATTCCCATTCAGTAGTTCTGGAGTGGGGATGGGGCTTCTCCGTGTCCAGCAAGGTCTTCCATGAGGCTGCTGCTGTTGGTCCACAGAACACATTATGAATAGTGAAGGCCCAGAGTGAAGTTCATTCATCAGGTGCTCATTCCTTCTCTGCTCTTTCTGCTGATGCCACCACCACCATGCAGCTGGAATGCCCTACTGCTGCCCATCTGTTGCTGAAAGAGTGTTTAAGACTGTTCTTCCATCATGCAAGCCTGCTTAGAGTTCATCTGGTCAAACTTAGGCGTTCTTGCTTCCAGTTCTTTTACAAGCCCCCAAAGGATGTATGTCACTTTCAGTTTCCAAGGAACTTGGAATGAGCTTTCCAGAACACACACTTCCTCCACTTCCCTGAATATTCTCCCCAAACTGTGTCAAACACAGTGTATAGAAGGTAACATTAGCCTTTTAATCGAATTCATGGCTTCTCATGGACAGACAAGTGGTTTCGATGCAAATAGGAATATAGGATGCTCTCAAGCATCTCAGAGACCCTGAGATGAGTGTGTGAATGAGCTTGTTGCCAAGACTCTCACTGCAAAGAGATCAAATAGAAATGGTGTGAGGGAGGCAGGCACAGGGGTCTGTTCCACATGCTGTTGTACTGACTGATCGCATCAGAATCAGCCGAGAAGCAACCTTCAAACGCACATTTCCAAGGCCTCGTCCCTGGTGAAATGAATTAGCATTCCTGGGGGGAACTGTACTGTTACAAAGCACAGAGCAGTTAGTGGCTTGCTGTGCTGATGAACAAATATTAAACATCTGCCCGTTATCCAGTCACAGAGTTGCTGAGTATCTTTCAGGTCAGGTGCAACACACACAGTTCCTTCCTTCATTCCTCTCCCAGCTCAAAGTAGAAAGTAAACAAACTAGAAATAACTGCAAAGGATGAAAGTATTATGAGAGTGGTGAACTCATGATGAAGGAGTAGGTCCTTTATTTATTTATTTATTTATTTATTTATTTAATTTTTTTTTAGGAGTAGGTCCTTTAGATGACCTGATTAGTGATGGTGTCTCTGGGGCAGTGACATTAGGCTGTGACTTGGAGGGATAGGAATTACCCAGCATCATAGTGGTGCTCCAGCAGAGAGCATTATATGTGAACATTCCCCTGGGAAAGAGCCTGCTTTATGAACATCTGTAGATGCTCCCAGACAAACCAAAGAAACAATTACAACTCCCTTCCTTGCAAATTATTCTGCAATTAGGGCTTTTTTCTTTTTTCTTTTTCTTTTCTTTTTTTTTTTTTTTTAGGTGGCAAAGGCATAAAGACTCCATTTCTCTCAACTTCGGAGCCTGTTCTCATTCTTTGCTTGCTCTACCACTAATGCCAATAACTTGGGTCTCATCAAACACGCCAATGAAGACCTCTACACCACTCTGTGAAGGCTGCATGGAAGGTTGGGGGCCTGAGAGCCCTCTGCAGTGTCCTCAAACCCCTCCTGTCTCTTCTGGTGAAGGTGATCACCAGGATGATGCTCCACATTGCCTGTGTGGGTCTGGCCTGAGCCCCATCTGTAAAACAGGATACAAATGTCTGTCCCAGCATTGATTCCTTAAGGTGCCGTGCCTCATCCATGATAGTTCCTGTTTAATCACAGTGTGATTATGGCATCTTGGAAAGTTCCATCTGAAAGGCAATGAGCGTACCTCAATTTTAAGCCTGTCATTTATCATTTTTTTCTTTCTTTCTTTCTTTCTTTCTTTCTTTCTTTCTTTCTATCTAATTTATTGTCAAATTGGCTAACATACAGTGTGTCCAGTGTGCTCTTGGTTTTGGGGGTAGATTCCCGTGGTTCATTGCTTACGTGTAACACCCAGTGCTCATCCCAACAAGTGCCCTCCTCAATGCCCATCACCCACGTTCCTCTATCATTTGTCATTTTTAATTAATGGGGGCATTATAAGCCAATATCTCAGGTGTTATGCATGCTGCCAGGGACTGGCTATTTGAGAAACTGCCAAAGAGGGACTTCCTAATCAAACTTGCACACCCTCAGGGCAGCTGATTTCGGTGTTAGGAGGAAAGCTATCTTATTGAGCAAATGTGTGAAGGGGCAACTTCACTTGTGAGACTCTTAACTACGTCTATTTTAGGTAGCTTAGGAAAGGGGCTGGAAATTCCCAGGTCACATGGGGCTGGGTCTGCATGGGGACAGGCAAGCATAGGCAGTTCCATGGGAATTGGCCTCAAAGGTCAGACCTGTCAGGCAGTTCTGATTTTGGCACTTTCTTCCTTTTCTCTACTCCAGGGTCACAGCTTCTCAAAGACACTTCAACTGATTAAGGCAGGCAGGCGTTCCAATAGACATCTGGGATGTTTGTGATCTGTCGCTTTCCCCAATAAAGACCTCTTCAGGAGGTGGCCTCTCTTTCAAGCTTTTCTTGAATGCGCACCTGAATCTGGGCATTTCTGAGGCTGAACTTCAGCCGCTTTACTGTGCTCCTGCAACACTTTACTTGCTCAGAGTGGTGGAGGGTTCATCAATGAATAAGACAGGTCCCTGCCCTCCAAACAAAAAAAATCAATAGGTATCCAACCAGCAATAAAAGAAGAAAGACTGCGATAACTACAATAATACAGATCAAAAGGAAGTGCTTTTTTATTAAATGGGCTGTATTAGTTTCCCATTGAGGCTGCAAATTTAGTGGCTTAAAACAACAGAAATTTATTCTCTCACAAGAGGCCAGAAATCTGAAATGAGTCTTTCAGGGCTAAGATCAAGGTATCAGAAGGGCTGTGTTTCTTCTGGAGGCTCTGGGGAGGATCAGGCAGTCCTTGACTCACCACTTGAATCTTTGCCTCTGTGGTTACATTACATGCCTCTTCCGTTTGTGAAATCTCCCTGCCTCCCTCCTGCAAGCATACATGTAATTGCATTTATCCACTAGGATAAAGCTAAGATGGTTGCTCTATGTCAAGAGCCTTAATATAATCACACCTGCAAAGTCCCTTATTGCCATTAAAGGTAATATTCAGATTCTGAGGATTAGCACATGGATATCTGAGGTGGGGTCATTCATTATTCAGCCCACCATGAGTCCCACTCTTATTTATTCTTTCATTCCCACCCCCAACCAAATGGTCTACAGCTGTGATGTCCAATGCGGTAGCCACTTATTGCCGGTCACAATATTGGTAGTCACGTGTGGCTACTGAGCGCTTGAAACATGGCTTGTTTGGATTGAAATATGCTTTACATGTAAAATACCCACTAGATTATCAAGTCTTACGACAAAAAATGCAAGGTATTTCACTAACAATTTTTATGTTAATTACATGTTGAATAACATTTTGAATATATTAGATTAAGTGAAATATATTAAAATTAGTATCACCTGTTTCTTTTTGCTTTGTGCAACTACTAGAAAATTTAAAATTATATCTGTGGCATGCATTTGTGGTTTGTGATATATTTCTCTTGGACAGCGCTCTACACCATCTACAAGAGTAATTCTCAAACGGCTGCCTAGCAGCACCACGTGGGGAGTTTTACAAAACCCCAATAGGCAGGCTGCACCCCAGACTTATTAAATCAGAAATCTCTAGGGAGGGGCCCAGGCATTGGTATGTATTGAACTCCCCAGGTGACTCTAATATGCAACCAAGGTTGAGAATCTGTGGGGAAGACACCCAGAGGAGGGCTAAGATTGGAAATGGCATTAATGGTCCAGGGACTATCAAATGGATCTATTCATTTTCTTTACAAACAATCGGAAATAGGGGCTCCTGAAGTATCCCCTGCTTTTTGTTTTCCTCCATGAGACACATGCCCCACCGCACCCACAGAAAGCTGTTGGGGGAGGGGACAGAGCAGCCGTTTTCATGACTCAGAACACTCTTGGGATCTCAACACTCTGAGGGTCAGGCTGGCTGGACCTCTCTCCCTTGGGTGCTCTGGCAGTCAAATCAACCTTCCCTTGGCAGTCAGTTTCTGCCGTCGTAGCTGACAGAACAAGATACAGTAAAGGCCAGCAAGCTCCTAAATGTTCGGTTTGTGGGGCTGGACCGAGGCAAAGCACCTTCACAGAGGCTCACAGTGACAGTGTGTTTTGCAGGCATCCATCAGTAATATCCACCACCACCAGAGGCTCCTGTTACTGCTGAGATTCCCAGCTACTTCCCATTTCCACACAATGATTGTGTTCTCTGGATCTGGACTCAGAATTAGATCACCAAGCAAAAATCCAGTGCACTACATTGAGTGTCAAAGTATTCCCTGGGAAATTGGTTCTTAGTGGAGCAAGATGGGATGTTTCAGTAGCTTCCTGTTACCTGACAAAACACAGATTCGAAGAGATAAACCGCAGCCTTGTTCATGCAATACGGTTACTTATGTCTGGCATCATCAATGAATAAACCCATCACCTGAGAGCATCTTACAGCCATTTGAGGCTAACTCATTAAAACATGATATTATTCTACATTTAGGCAATTTAAAAGAATTTTCTGAACTGCATAGCACTCATGTGACTTCTAAAATAGCATACACTAAACAGTAATTAATATTTTCAAAAGGAAGAGGTCTTATATATGTGATGCAGGTGATGAGGCTTTCCAAACAAGGGGGATAAAAGAATTGAACAAAGGCCTTGAGCAAGCTTGTTTCCCTCCCCCTTCCCTCTTTTACTGAATGCTGACTCCAGGGTGGGAAGTGGGGCTTGTCTTCATGGAGTTTAGGAGCTACTAGGGGGAGAAGACCTCAAAGTAAAGGAGAAAGAGAAAACATTATAAGGTCTATGACTGGGGACAAGACCTCCCTTCTCCTATTTCCCCTTCCTTCTGTTTTCTGGATATATGTATATATATTTATGTATACATGTGTATATATGTATATATATGTATATGCATGTATGTATGTGTATATGTATGTGCGTATCAGGTAACTTACAAAAGTACATAAGGAACAAGATAGAAGAAATTAAGAGGGAGAAATTTGGAAGTAAGAAAATGATAGAAGTCAGGTTAGTCAACAAATCATATTCCTTAAGTCTTATCTAAATTGCTGAGGGTGGGCCACCAATTTATATCTGACTTCCCAGCAGCCAATGCAAAGAGAAATGCACACCAATTGCATAATTCACAGTGTCTGTGAGGTTGAAACTAATGGGTCCCAAGTAACCCCATAGATTAGGGTACCACATCATAACAAGGCATATGGGATATACGCAGCAATGTCCTCGACAACATTTCTAATTGCATCAAGAAGTTTCATAGGGTGTGACATAAGTCCATAGGGTTTGGAGAAAGTGAAAAAGAGATTACATTAAATTCTAGCTGGAGCTAAACTATTCTGTTGGGATTGGCTGGGTTAATATGAGCTTTCACCTATAATTTCCTGTAGTTCCATATTCTGTTTTAGGTGCTAGGTTAGAGGTATGCACTGGAGATTATGGGAGTGGAGAGGAATACTGCCTTCTGCCTTTATCAGAGAATGGGCTGATGCCAGGGATCTGGAGGAGATGATGCCAGTAGAAGTATCCAGTGGGAGTTGTCCAGAGGGAAGAGGCATTCCAAGCATGAGAGAATAGCATCAGGGGGCACAGAGGGATGGAGAGTGCTGGTAGGATCTATGGGCAGTTTGGCACTGGTGAGATCTGAGATATGAGGCAAGGTATGATGGGGGTGGAGGCAAGGGCCAGACTGTGCCCATCTTATGTACTCTACTAAGGAATAGGCTTCATTCTATGGAGAGGTACTGAGATGCCACTGAAGGGATTTAGGTAGGGGAGGTGTATCTGCTAACTATTGCATTAATGCCACCTAATGTATCTCATCAAAACCCCATGGCTTAAATAACAGTTATATATTTTTGCACACTGATGCAAGGGTTTGTGATGGGAGGGAGGCTCTACATCAGGGTGCAGGTCTATAAAATGCCTGGGGTGGCACTGGCTGGGGCCCAGACTGAAGGAACAGCAGCTACCCAAAGTTAGTTCTTCTGTCAGTAACCTGTGGAAGTACAGGGTGATGAGGGGACAAACAGAAGGCATACCCCTCAGATACACCCAGATTCCATTAGCAAAGCAAGCCCACAGTCAAGCACAATATCCCTGGGGCGGGAAGATAAACTCTACCCGCTCCGTGGGAGCTACCACAAAGTCACATGTGGTGACAAAGCTCATGTGAACTATGAGCAATAATTCAATCTATGTTAGGGGTGAAGCAAATGGACTTGACTTTGTAGATAGTTTACTTAGGCAGCTGTGTGGAAATCAGGTTCCAGAGAGGTGATACTGGCATCAGGGAGACCAGTGAGAAGGGTCAGGTGAGACCTAGTGAGGCAATAGTGAGTGGTGATGGAACAGAGGTAATTCAAAACAACAGACGAGATAAAGCCATCAGGGCTTAAGGACTTAAGCCATTTAGGGCTGGGTTTTAGATTCCTCCATTTACTGTACCCAGGGTCTACTGCTGAGGCTGCAGGCAAAACTGTTTCCATCACATATCTGTTTTCTTATTTCTTATTGAAACAACTCTGATTTTATTTGTGGCATTAATGTGCCTACCTTTAAAAGTGTTTCCTAGTTTCCCTTAGGTGGGAGGTGGTTACATGGCAAGCCCTGGCTATTAGGATATAAATGAGATTCATTGGGTCGTATTACTAGGAAAACGCTTTATTTTTTTTTTAATTAATTAATATTTGTTTTTAAAGTTTATTTATTTATTCTGAGAAAGAGAAAGAGTATGCACAAGTAGAGGAGGGGCAGAGAGGAGAGACAATCACAAGCAGGCTCTGTGACAAAAGCACAGAGCCAGATATGGGGCTCAAACTCGAGGCATGAAATCATGACCTGAGCTGAGATCGAATCAGATGTTTAGCTCACTGAGCCACTCAGGTGCCCTAGGAAAACCTTTTAAGGGAGCATGTGTACTGTTGCCGTTTGCTCATATCTTTGGCCTGCCCCAAATGTAGAAGGATGGCCAGCGATCCAGCAGCCATCTTGTTGCCAGGAGGCAACCATACTAAGGATGGCTGAGCAGAGAGGAGTCTTTTCGATGATATAAGGACACCATACCAACCCTCAACTGAATGTCAGTTATGTGAGAGAAAATAAGTGCCTTCTTTAAGTGACTGTTTTTTGAGTTTTCTGTTTTTAGCAGCCAAGTTCCTGATACCACACATGACATTAACAACATGAAGCAACATTATTCATTAAATTACTATCCTGAGTCCATGACCAAAATTAGAAACAATAAAACTTCACCAAGGTGATCTAGCCCAATAGTTAAGTAGCTGCTAGTGCATATACATTTGTGGTGAAATTTTTCTTTGGTTTCTTGCTTCCTTGATCTCTCAACATAGGTCCAGTCACTCCTTTCAGCCATCTAGATCTGCCTTTGAATAGCCGCATAGGTGTTAAATGTCTGAGAGAGTTAGTGGTGAAGGGTGCTGGTTGTTTGATTTTGAAACAGGACTCTTAAAGAACACACCTGATGGAGGAAAAAAAAACAAAACAAAACAAAACCAAAACCAAAAAAACAAAAAACCACACAGATGTGGTGGGTGGCTC